TTGATTATATTTAACTAAAAAGTTTTTGCACAAACCAAAGGTCCAGCCCTAACTCAAGTGTAATTCTGGTCTCTAAAATTTCAGTTGGGCCAGGAAAATACAGATGAACTTACAGCACTGTGACTAAAGATTTGGAAAATAAGTCCAAAAAACATTTTCCTGGAAGAAAGATTACTGGAATTGGAGCAATTTAACCTGGAAGAAAGGATGAAGGGAAGCTTAATTAAGTTATAAAAGCTGAACAAATGGCAGCCAATCATCTTCTATCTCCTCTGAGGAAGGGCCAGAGGAGATAAAATCAACTTAAGCCAATCACCTTCAAAGCCACCAAAGTGACTTTCCAAAGGTTAGGTCAGATCACGTCACCAGCCTACTCAAACTCCGGGGACTCCCTATTGCCTTTAGGACAGATTATAATAAACTCCACAGTTGGGCAAATACTTAAAGCTCTTCCCAGCCTTTCCAGCCTGCGCACACATCTCGCCCCTCCTCAAACACTACGGTTTAGTCATTTTGGTCTACTTTCTGCTCCTCACACAAGACGTTCCTACTCCTTCCTAACTCGCATGGCCTACAATGTGCCTGCTGGAATACTGGGTTTCTTTTAAGACTCTGCTCATGAGCCCTCTGCTGGCTGCAGCATTTCCTGATTCCTCCAGGGGCTGATCCCCCTCCCCCCTCCCCCTGTAATCCTTTTGTGTAAGTTCTGTACATGCTTAAAAAGGCACATACTGTCTCCCCCACTAGAATATAAGCTCCTTGAGGGTAGAGATTGTTTCACTCTCTCTTGTACCCCCTCCACTAAGCACCATGCCTGGCACATAGTAAGTGATTCATCAAAGTTTGTTGTAGCCAGAAGAAGCCTTGGAATCTTCCACAGCTCTTTTTTAAAAAGGAGACATGGGGAAGGCTGGGATGGTTGAGGTGGTCCTACCTCAGTGCAGAGGGACTGATTGGACCTACTCATATCTAAAGAGTTTGGAAAGATAGAAAAACTAAGGCTATGGCAAAGTGAGGCCAGCCAGAACAAGTCACAGGAAGAACACCTAGTGCCTGGTTGTGCCAAGGCTCTCCCCTAATTATCAAAGGACTTAAATACTAGCAGAGCTCCCAGCCCCTCCCCCATCACCCCATTCTTTGTCTCTTCTCCTCTGCCTCTGTCCTGCACAATCGCCCTAGAGAGAAGCCTCCCATTCCTTCCCCGCCAGAGATAGGCCCCAAAGCCCTGAAAACACTTGCTTTTTCAGCAAACAAATTTCCATGGAAGCAATCTGAGAAAGCTGTTTAATGTACTGCATCCCTCCTGAACCCCTCAAACACACACAAAAAACCAATTTCAAGGGAGAGAAAGCTGGATGGGATTAAACAATCCAATTTAAAAGACTCTGAAAACTCAGCTGTTTCCACTGGAGTGCTAGGAAAGGAATCAATCAGCAATATTCTTTCCCTTTTTGTATTCAAATGAGGGACCTGACTGTATTATGAGTCATTTCAGTCTGACAGGCCGTCTATCTGGGACTTGCAGGCTGCCTACAGTGAAAGGTCTGGGAAGAAAGGGGGGAAGGGAGAGAGGCAGGATCACAGACTCTGAGCAGGAAAAGACCTTTGTGGTAGTCTGGTCCAGGGCTTCTTAAACTTTCCACACTCGACCCGTTCAGCACTTCTTAAACTGTGGGTCACAACCCCACACAGGTCCACAGTACCCACAGTTGGACTAGCGCTGGCTAGTGCAACAATTTTACAGATAAAGATGCTGAGGCCCATAGATATGGGGTGACTTGCCCAAAGTCACATGGGTTGTAAGTGGCAGATTGAAACCCAAGACCTCTGACTACAAACCCAGCACTGATCCCACTGTTCTCCTATCTTTTGGTCTTGGCCCCTCTGGACCTAAAGGATCACCACCGACAGGGTAGAGAGGTAAAAGCACATTCACCCATCAGGGAATCTGCCCTTCCTAATGGAGATTTAGGCAGGGAAAATCAGGCTTCACCATAAAGGCCCAAGGGAAATCTGGGAACAAATTTGCCCCCTCCCTCCATGGGAACCTGTAAGACCCCTTCTCCCTGGCTGGCCCTCCCACGTCCCAGATTCAGATAGGGCCTGGACTGGTGGGTCTGAAGTGTCCAAATGCCCCAAATACCCACTGTCTAGAGCAGGGCACTGTACCACAGCTGCCCTTAAGCCAAGAAGAGAGGGGAAGAACATTTCAGTTTGTAAAGGGAGAGAAGTCAAGCTTCATCCCATTAGTCCCAGAGAGGCACCAAAAAGTCATCAAGTATCTATTAAACACCTACCACGTGTCAGGCTCTACATCAAGTGCTAGAGGTACAAGAAAGGCAAACCCCACAAAAAACCAACCCCTGCTTTCAAGAGGTTCCTATTCCAATGGGGGTGGGGGGAGACGACAATATGCAAACAGCTGTGCACACAGAATAAACTGGAGATATTCGCAGAAGTAAGGTATGGAGATTAAGGACTGTTGTGAAAGGCTTCTTACAGAAAGCGAGACAAGTGCTAAGATTTGCAAGAAGCCAAAGGGCAGAGGCCAGGAAGGAGAGAGTTCTAGGCTGTGCAGAGCCAGTGATGATGCACACACGTGAGAGAGGTTGGTGTGAGAACAAAAAGGAGGCCTGTGTTGGAGAACACGCGGAGGGCATAAGAAGACTGAAGAGGGAGGAAGCAGCCAGGTCAGGAAGGGCTTTAAAAGGCAAACAAAGTATTTTATATTTGATACCGATGGTGAACTGGGAAACACTGGAGTTTATTGAATAGGTCTGATGTGAGGAGACCTGAGCTTTAAGACTAACTTGGCAGCAGAATGGAGGATGGGCTGGAGAGTGGGAGAGACCTGCAGCAGGCAGATCCACCAGAAGGCTACTGCAATAATCCAGGCTTGAGGAAGGAGGGCCTGTACCGGCGTGATGGCAGCGTCAGAGGAGAAAGGGGACATATTCAGGCTATAAAACCATGCAAACCCTTTAACTAAGCAATACCACTACTAGGTCTGTATCCCAAAAAAAGGAAAAAGACCTATGTGTACAAAAATATTTATAGCAGCTCTTTTTGCGGTGGTCAAGAATTGAGGGGATCCCCATCAGTTGGGGAATGGCTGAACAAGTTGTGGTATATGGATGTAATGGAATATTATTGTTCCATAAGAAACGAAAAGCAGGGGCAGCTAGGTGGCGAAGTGGGTAGAGCACAGGCCCTGGAGTCAAGAGGACCCGAGTTCAAATCCAGCTTCAGACACTTGACACTTACTGGCCCTGGGCCACTCACTTAGCCCACTGCCTAGCCGCCCCCCCCCCCCAAAAAAAAGAAAAGAAAAAAAAGAAATGATGAGCAGGCAGGATTCAGAAAAACCTGCAAAGACTCACACGAACTGATGCTGAGTGAAGCGAGCAGAACCAGGAGAACACTGTACACAGTAACAGCCACACAGGGCGATAACTAACTTTGATAAACTTGGCTCTTCTCAGCAAAGCAAGGGCCTAAGACAACTCCAAGACTCATGATGGAAAATGCTGTCCACACCCAGAAAAAGAACCATGGAGTCTGAACACAGATTGAAGCATACTATTTGCTCTCTTTTTGTTTTGTTTCTTCTTTCTCATGGTTCTTCCCATTGGTTCCAATTCCTCTTTACAACATGACTAATGTGAAAATGTTTAATATGAATGTATATGTAGAGCTATATCAGACTGCATGCCATCTTGGGGAGGGGGGAGGGGTGGGAAGGGGAGAAAATTTAGAACTCAAAAATCTTACGGAAGTGAATGCTGAAAACCAAAAATAAATAAATTTAAAAAAAAAAGAAAAGGGGACATATTCAAGAGCTGTTGCCAAAGCAGAATTGACAGGACTTGGCAACAGCTTGGATATGGAGAGATAAGAGAGGGAAGTTGAGGTTCACACCTAGGTTGTGAGCATGGGTAACTGGGAGATTGGGAGTGCCCTCCCTAGTAATAGGGAAGTTAGGAAGAGGGGAGGTTTTGGGGGGAAAGAGAATGAGGTCAGTTTTGGATGCACTAAAGGTGTAATAGGCAGTTAGAGATATGAACCTGGAAAGAACCTGGAACCAGAAAGCTTGTACAGAATGGTCAAGAAAGGCCTAGCCCATCAGGATGTGCATTCTTATCTGAACCTTTGCTCCCTTCAGAGAAAGGAAACACAATCCCAAGTACAAGTCTTCCCCAACCCAACTCTGGCATGCACAGCCATCAAGACTGACTCAGGAACTCAAGAAGTAGCATGCAACCCTTTCTCCTGGTCATCTCATTATCAACAAGTATTTGCTGAGCACCTATGTGTCACGCACTGTGCTAGGCACTGGAGATACGAGATGATCCCTACCCAAAAGGAGCTTAGACTCTAAGTCAAACGATCACCCTGTTCCACACAAAGATGCTTATCATCAAGACTGTTTTTATCTGTTCCCCAGGAGCTAGCAAGCCTGAGACACCAGGCAAAGGAAGGCTTAAGCCAAACTATTTTAAGCCCCTAAACCCCATCTAGAGACAGACAGTCATGTGAGAGCTATCTGCCAGGAGATGTCCTCACTCACATGCTATCCTATGAAACGTTCAGAAAAGGCCTGAGGGAAGTGGGCGCTCCACGGGTGTCATAAAGCAAGTCACTATATATTTCTATAGCACAGAATACTTAACTAATTTTAATAAAAAATAATTTTTATTACTAAAAATGTTTTTTTTTGTCTTTTTTTCTTTATTATAAGGGATGGCTCTCTGCAAAGGGATAGAGACAGAGGGAAATGTTAGGTAATATTTTTAAAAAGGTATCAATAAAAAAAAAAAGATGTTCTTGGCCCATTCATTTGGTTAGAGAGAAGGATATTGATTATGAGATCATAGCTTTTTGGCATGGGTGTGAGAATAGGGGAAAATGGACATAATGGTTTTCTCTTAACCCCAAGATGTTATACTAAAAGACAAGGAAGCTCAACAACTAGTGATATAAAAAGATTTAAGTCACCTTACCTCATCTGATTCATCTGACAAGGTCCGAAGGAGGATGGGGAAAAGGTTGTCTGTATGTCGGAACATCTGGAAAAGAAGAACATGTTACTTATTTACCTGAAGTTTAATATGCAGAGAAGAAAAACATAGTTCCAGTTTTATTCCATTAAAAGCCTTTCATGTCAGAGTTTTATGAAGAGGAAAGGGATTTTTACAGAAGAAAAGTGCTATCATTTCTAATTACTATAGTCTAGGAAAAGGGGGGGGTGAAACTTGATTGTAGTATAAAGAAATTATTTATCATGTTTTTGTAGTGTTAACAAAGTGTGATGCTAAAATACATCAAGGGAAACAGTACAAAATGGTGATTGGTATTTTATTATTTAACCAAAAATACTACTCTTCAATAAGTCATTTTACTAAAAATAGCATTCAAGTAAGTTTACCTGTAAAATCTGGAGATAAATCATATTGGTTTGCCTTTTGATAGAAATTACACAAGTTGCACAAAATTTCCTTCTCATTGAGCTGCACTGAATAACACAATATATTATACATATATGGGATCTGGAGTTTTTTATTCTAAGATTTTAGATTTTGTTTATGAGGTCATGTTTGATGTACGGCTAAAAATGACCTGGCAAGTAGCACATCTTTACAGGGGCATATTTATCACATTTAAAAGATCCCAATGACATTTATGTGCTTCCATTTTTCTTGAGTACTTGTCACACAGCATCCACTTAATAAATGTTTTTGGGTGATTTAAAAGAAGGGAAGGAGGAATAAGTATTTATGTAGCACCTACTATGTGCCTGACACTGTGCTTGTCCTTGTGGCTGGGAGATTGGTAGTGCCCTCCATAGTAATAGGGAAGTTAGGAAGAGGGGAGGGTTTTGGGGGGAAAGAGAATGAGGTCAGTTTTGGATGCACTAAAGGTGCAGTTAGGCAGTTAGAGATATGAACCTGGAAAGAACCTGGAACCAGAAAGCTTGTACAGAATGGTCAAGACAGGCCTAGCCCATCAGGATGTGCATTCTTATCTGAACGCTTGCTCCCTTCAGAGAAAGGAAACACAATCCCACGTACAAGTCTTCCCCAACCCAACTCTGGCAGGCACCGAGTCTTTACAACTCATCTACCACCTGGGCCAGTATTATCTCATCTGATCCTCACAACTACTTTTCGAGGTAGGAGCTATTACTACCCCCACTTTACAGTTGTGATAACCAAAGCAAACAGAGGTTAAGTGACTTGACCATGATCACACAGCTAGTGTGTATGTGCCTGGATAGGAACCTAGGTCTTTCTGACTTCAGGCCCAGCACTTTCCCCACTAGGACAACAGTTGCCCCTAAGACAAAATAGTGACCTATTTTATTGGCGTATACCTTCTTTGGAGGGGAAGAGAAACTCCCCTCATTTACTGCCTGAGTCAAGGACACATTTTCAATTGTAAAATTTTTAAACGCCCACTGAATGTGTAGAATTTTTTTGTTGTGGGATCTGTAGGGTGCTTTTCTATTTGGTAAGCACCTGAGAGCTGTTAAGAGTTTACTCTTTAAGAGAAGTCTTAAACTTCACCAGATTTTAAAATCCTGTTTAATGAATAGTTTTTTAGTATCAAAATTATGCTGAGTTTCCATTTCCAAACAGAAAATAAATTTATTTAAAAAAATAGGAAACATAAAATAGATGCAGGGGGAGGGTGGGAGAGGCCAGGCAACACAGCCTTGTGAAGTTAACCCCATCCCCAGACTATGGGCCAGCTTGGAAATCATCTCCCTCTCCCCCAGGGCTAACTCTGATCTGGCCTCCAGACAGTAGGCTCTCCTCCTTCTTACTACCCACAATCCTCACTGTGAGCACTCATCACTCCTTTGTTCACCCTGGGTAAGTGGGTGAAAATGGCACTGGACACGTATGAGGAAAAAGCCCTGGCTGTCGTCATCCCGCTGTCTAGGAGGGCCCCGGCTTACCTTTCGGGGAGTCTTGATATACAAATGGTACAGCCACTTGAGGACAGCGATCCTGGTCATCATCCCAATGGCGGGGTCATGTAGGTGGCAGTTCAGCACTTGCATGATCTCATCAAGGTTCAGCGTCACTGGTAACCCTTCAGCACTGCACACAAGAGCAGGAAGACAGAACTGAGCCAAAGCCACCCAAATCCAACTGCTCCCCAACCAAGGGTCCAACCCGGCCCCCAAGAGATGCAAAGTGAAGCTCATGCCCCGGCCACCCAGAGGACTCAGCGAGTGAGCAGTGAGCGGCACCACGTCACCAGGCTTCACAAGCACATCCCTTTCCATTCCTTGTTTGTCCGCAGCGAACTCCCAGCAGCGCCTCAATCACACGTTCAGGAAAGACTTGGGACTTGTTCTGTACCTGGGGAGAGAGGCCAGGCCATTGGGCCCCAGGGAGGTCTTCCTTTTCTCAACACCAGCCAGATGAGACTTCCCACACACCACTCAACACTGGGTCAGAGTGTCAACCAGCTGCTCTTAGGCATTTCACTTCAGATTGCGGTGGCGTCCAGCAACGGAGTGGTATGAAGAAAGTGAGGATTAAGGGCTTGAGAACACCTCTGCCCTGCTCCGTCAGGCCTTTTACTGACCCTGCATGACCCTGCAGCTGAACGAAAGCCTCTGCTTGGCGCCCACCAGGGGCGTAACTTCTTGGGGTTCAGGCCAACACGCTTCTCCACCCAGCCAGAGAGGAGGGTTCTCTTAAACAGCAATGATACTAATAGTTTAGACTTCCATGGCACTTTCAGGCTACTTTTTCCACCACAACTTTATAAGGATGACTGGGCAAGTATCATTGCTTCCATTTTAAAGCAAGGTGAGGCAAAGAGAAGCTCAGTGACTCACTCACTGAGTTATGAAGCTCTGGAATTGAGATATGAAAATGGGTCTTTTGAGATCTTAGCACTTTTAGCTACAATGGGTTTGCAGCTTTCTGTCAGTGCCCTGCAGCTGTGCTTTCAGAGCCACTGCCCCGAGAAAGAGAAACAGGCTTTGTCAGCTGAGGCAATCAGCCATCTCAACATGGCATCTACTAGCAAGGTGACTTCACAAATAACCCCCATGATGTGGCATTTCCTATGGACCCAGATGTGGCAGTGAAGATGGCCGCCTGGAGAAAGTGGTATTTCTAAGATGCTGAATTATTCAAATATACCAGCACTCAGCGGCTACATCTTTTTAATTTGCCCAAAGCCTTTCTGAAGTTCATTTGAAGTGAATCCCTAAAGGGCACACTCTCACTCTGTGATTTTCAAATGGAATTACTAGCTAATATAGTTCTATGTTCCCCACGATGCCCATTACAGGGCAAAGGTGGGTGGCCTCATCCCCGTGATGAGTTTGGGTACGTGATCTGCAGTATAGAGCAGAAAGTGGGTTCTTACTCTTGCAATGAGATTTTCCCCCAGTGGAGGTGGTCTTCCCCAAGTGTTACTTCTGGCTAGTACTGGTGTCTGAGGGTCCAAAGTCCCCAGTGCTTAGGCAGCCTCACATCATAGACATGGGCACAAAGCTGCTTAGCCTCTCTCGTCAGATTCCACATTAGAATGCTGTGTGCCAAAGCTCCAGCTTGCAGGCTCTATCTCAGGGACTCGTCAACTTCCTCCTTTATGATCCAACTCAATTTCTTGGATTTCATTCTGATTTCGGTTTCTCTCTCCTCCTCCACAGGCCGAGTTTATCTTCATGACATCTTGAAGCTGTGACCTGTCTCCAACTTGACTGGTCTAAGCAAACAACGCCATGGCCCTCCTGTGGCTCTCAGGCACTGCCATTACGTCCTTTTCTTTATTGCCAGCAGAATCCTGTTATCCTGAAAGCCTCCTGGGGCCCATGGGCCAGTGCACGACACCAGAAGCTGCTGCGAGGCTTTCCCGAGCACCTGACCCAGCACTCTGCTCATGGGCCTGGGTCATCTACAATTTGGTGCTTCTGTTTCTTACTGTCAAGGCACAAGAGCTTGACTACCACTTGGCCTCCTCCCCAAGGGCAAGGGAAAGGTATAGTTGTTCAGATGTTCTCTGCAGCACTTTATACACACCTAGCGAGCAGTAAAACGTAATTCTGTTCTCAGCAGATACAACTGCCCTGGAGTGGAAACCTTGTTTTCACCAATATTTGAATTTAGGGTGGTAGGCTGCCAGGAGCTACTTTGCTTTGGACCTGCTAAGTGAAGGATTCCCTTTCCCCCGTACCCAAAAGGTCAGTCTCAGAGCATACATGGGAGAAGAGTGACGACCAGCTCAAGCATCCCAACCTGAAGCAGGAGGACAGGAGTCAGACCAAGGAATCACCTCTATTTGTCTTCTTGCAGTATAGCTGCTGTGAAATATATAGTGCCCCTATGCAGCCAGCCCCGAAGGGCGCTGGGAAGAGGGTAGATCAGAAATATACTTTTCTGTTGGAAACTGCAAAGAAAATTCCTGGGGTAAAAACAGCCCCTGCTCTTCCCACCCCTCCAAGCTAAGTACACACTGTGCCACCGAGCTAAGTGCAGGTCTTGAGACACCAGGTCTGGGAGAGTTAGCTGACAACAGTGATGAAAAGCTAGCTCTCGGCGGCTGGCGGGAATCAGGTGCCCTTCCTGCTCGACACATACAAAGCACGTGCTCTGGGCAGAGCTTCTCACCGTCCTTCTCTGCTTCTTGATTTGGGAAGCTTGGCCGGCTCACACAGGAGGGTGGGTTAGATAGTATGGCTCACATTCACTCCATTACCTTTCCAGAAAATACCAGCCACATCAATGGATCCCCACAAGCGTATGCATGCATCTCTGGGACCTCGCAGTGGCCCTCCGTCGGTGAGTCTGGGAGTTACTTTGCTGACCAGAAGACACCTCATCCTGGGCCTCTTTTCCTCAGGCTCCCCAGGCAGGCTGAGAGGCAGCAGTGATGCCAGGCCCCAGTGGGCCAGGAGAGGACATGGGGGTCACAGCTGCCTTTGGGCTAGCCGCTTCCATGCAGCTGCCCAGCAGCAGCAGCTTAGCTTTTTCAGAGGGCACAGACTGGATCCTGAATCCAGTTTGGTTGGCCTGTTTTGGAGTTACTGGTCCACCCTGCCTTCTGGGATCCTGGCCAGTCGGAGGGACAGGCCATGCTGCTTCCCCACCCACTTAAAATGTCTTTTTTCCTTGACCTGGTTCAGGCAAGTCTGAGCCTTTGTGGGAGTAACTGTGGGGGTCAGTGAATAGCCATCACGTGCTTTAGATTTATTAGCATGAATGAATTTTTACTGAGTCTTTACAACTTGTCTACCACCTGGGCCAAGAGCTTGAGAATGAAGTGGCATTGATAATCCCAAGCTCCCCATAAAGACGTGCCTGGGAGCTTGTTTAAAACTGCTTAGAAGAATCCGCCACTTTACCCTCTGCTCCACGGAAGGTGCCTGTCCCTCACTGACCAGAAGGTATAAAACAGGCTTCTGGCTCTGGTGAGGCCCAAACTCCCTGACTTCCCAGACCTTTCTTCCTACTTCTGTTCTGAGCTCTCCTTCTTCTGGCCAGTGACAGAGAGAGTTGAAATAAGAAGTCAGGATGCTCTGGATCCACGGGGAAAGGCAGAGAATGAAAACATGCTCTGCCGTCATACACCAATTTGGAAGTAACTAGTTAAGAGGAGGTTAACCCAATGGAGATACTTTCCTGCCAAGTAAAATGATTGTGTTTGCTAGTCTGGAACACGAGGCAATTGTGGAGGTTTAATGAACAATCAACCTACCTAGCAATTTTAGAAATGATCTTTCGGCTATTCAGAGCCTGAAAAATAACAATTTGCTAAGACTCTGCCCTCCTCTGAGCTGGGTGAGATGAGTGCCGAGGTCCCTTCCAAGGGAGAAACTGTAGCTTTGTGCTAACAGGAGTAGGAGGTTTCCCTGCTTCCAGTCTCTTCCCTTTCCAATCCACTCTCCACTCGCATGCCCAAATAACCTCCCCAAGGCACAGGTAGGCACACCCCTCTCCTGGTCTGAAGGCTTCCAGGAGACTCCCATTGCTTGGAAGATCACATGCCAACATCCTCAGCGGGCCTGGAAGGCCTCCTCCAACCAGGCTGCCCCTCTCTCCCCAGTCTTCTTTCACACTCCTCCTCTTCATGAGCTCTAGCTACCAGCTCCACTGGACCACAAGCATCACAGTGCATCGCCCATCTATGGGCATCTGCACTAGCCCTCTTCAGCTGTTCCTCAGAATCCTTGTCTTCCTTCAAGGCTCTGCTCAGGGGTCACCTCCTGCAAGCTTTTCCGATTCTTGCCACTGTTCTGTTCTCTCCTTCGATTTTCCTCACACTCTACTTGTGGATGCCCAGCATCCCCTAATAAAATTTAAGGTCTTTGTGGGCACAGACTATATTCTCTGTGTTTTTTGCACCCCAAATGTCTAAAATGCTTTGTGAAATGAACTAATCATCTTCACCTAGCCAACCAAAGAATGGGTGACCTTTGGGACACCAAGCTTGTGAAAGGAGTGTTTGGTTTATATGACTAAAAATCACCAGCAGCTTCAACATGTCACAAGCATGGCTCAGATCCTATGCCTGCTATGGACAAAAGCTCTGGTGAAGCATGTGGAAAAGGAAGACCAATACTGGGGAGTGGCTTGTTCAGGAGCAAGGGCCTAGGGAAAGTCAAGTGGTTTCTGGGGTCAGTCAGTTTGGCACACATGCTAAGAATGGGGGAACGTCGGGGGGGGCGCGGGGGGATCCTCTCCTCGTTACACATGACTTCTGCAGGGCACAGCCAATGCCCAGGGAAAGAATGAAAAGTCCCTGGCAAAGCTATTGCTCATTCCACACAAGAAAATACCATTCTTACAGTTGTCAGCACTCCCTAACCCAAAAGTTTCGATGGATAGAGCAGACCCTGTAGTTTGCTACTGGGATGGGAGTGAAACAGTCCCTCCAAGGGGCCTCTCATCCCTCAGTGAATTTCATACATTTCTCAAAGAAGAAAAACACATTTGCTTCAAGCCATTCCCAGGGGTAGGGAGCCTAGAGGAAACACTGTAGCAACACTGCCACCGTGTGGTGATCCCACCCTCTATCTCTAGCCTCTACCCAAGATTCCTTTTAGTCAAAGGCAACCCTGAGGCCGCTTGGGTGGCCCTTGAGGAACACTGGGAGACTTGAGTTTCTGCAGCCTCTCCAGCTCTGACTCCTCTGACCCACCACTTCCACTAGCTCTGGTGTGTCCCTTTGGGGCCCCCCACCCCGATGGCAGTTTGGAAGCTTCTGACCACGTTCGACAGGGGCCTTCCTTCAGGAAACATGGCGCAGTGGTACGGGAAGTTCAGCACAGCCTTTGGCCCAATAACTCATCCGCAAAATGAGGGGGATGGGGAGGTGCAACTTAATGGCCTCTATGGTCTTTTCCAGCCCAGATCCAGGATTCTCTGGTGTTTCATCCCCTTTTTCTATGAGCCTTCTTGTGCGAGACATTACCCTCTATTCCTCTTCTGACACCCCAGCTGTTAATGAATGCCCTGATGACCGTGGTTCTGTGGTTCTCTTCCCAGGCTACCTCCCTCCCGGCAAAGACCTTCCAGCGGCACAAATGACTTACCTAGCTGGAGTGAAGACACTGAAGCTGGAGTCACAAGAAGCATCTAAGCAGCCTAGAAACAGGGACAGGAACAGACCCATTAGCTTGAAGGCAGATGACCCCTCAGAAATAAGGGACACAGCCCAAGGACGTACCGAGTTCTTAACAGAAAGGTGAAAGAGGACACTCCTTGCTTCCCTGAGACGCTGGGACAATGGATGGTTTCAACCTGGGGCTATAGGATTCTCTCCAGGCTGGTGTCAGACCAAGCACTGAGCTGGCTTGGAGAATTCCAAAGGGGGTCTGTAGTCTCTGAAGGATGGATTCACTACAAAGTCTATGCCCCCTCAATTCCTCCTCAGTCTGCTGGCTAGCTCAACTCTGTTTACTGATATTTAGCCAATCAGCTCATTCCTTCTTGATAAAATGAACTGAACCATCATCCAAAATTGATTTTCAGCACTCAAGGTTGAAAGGAATAATATTAGAAATTTTAACATTTTCTCCCCTTTGTCATATGATCATGATTTTTTAGGCACTAAGGAGCTGAAGAACCCTCTTACGGATTCTGGCTGAAATTCAGGATGACCACACTTTACAAAGCACAAAGGTGGAAGAAATGGGTGGTGGTAGTGCTTGACCTGTCTAAAGAAAGACAAGTGAAATTTTGAGCTATTCTCTGACATAAATGGAATCTAATTACAGTGAACTTTCATTATGGGAATGCCCTTATTTTTTGGCTCTACTAGAATTCAAATGTATCAAATACTACTTCAAAAGCACTGGATAAAACTTGCCCCCCCCCCTTTACTTTAGTAGAAAATGTTATTGTGAGAGTGTGCACTGTCACAGGACTTATCCCATCATTTACAGGAGGAGAAAACAAATCCTTGTCTCTCTGGCTCTTCTCTGCTGGTGAGCACACTCGGAATGGCCTACCATGGGTGGTGTGGCCATCGATTCTGGCTCTGAGCCCTTTACATAAGCAGGCGGGATTGGAAAGTCAGGCCGACTTGATCTCTCTTATGGTCTTACGAAGCTACTGCTTGGGAACTCAATTTTCAAAGGGAAAGTTTAGTCGATGAAGAGAAACTCCAGCCAGATTTCTTACTCATGGGCTTTTTCATCATTGGAATGACTATCTTATTCAATAACTTAAGTACCACGAGGAAGCCAGAGGATCTAGATTGCTGTGTTTTTTTTTCAGGTTTGCTACTGATTGGTGACCTTCAGTCAACACTCTTCTCTAAGCTTCGGTTCATTAATTCAACTAGCCCTTAGAGCCCACTATACATGTGTGATTTCTCCCAGGCAGCTTTGGTGGGTGAGAGCTTCAAGGAGGAGTTACCCATACTGGGCTGAGAGCCCACAAATGAGCCACACCCAGGGAATAGCTATGAACTGAGCTCTTAGCTGCCATAACACCCTTTATAGGGCATTAAAATCTGAACTCACACTGTTTGGCTTGCGTAGTTATGGTAATGCTTTGGTTAGAATGCAGCTGCTTGAAGAGTGTGAAGGAATTTCTTTTAAAAGATGAGTTAGCTGCATTGGCCGGGAATCGAACCCGGGCCTCCCGCGTGGCAGGCGAGAATTCTACCACTGAACCACCAATGCTCCTGCTGGTAGACAGACTTCTAACAGCTGCCATGTCACTGCAGGCTCATTCCTCTTGTTGTTCAGAGCAATTTCTTCCCTCTGAGCTTGACCCAGCCACATAAATAGCATGGGGTAGGAAAGGGCTCCACCCTGGGAGAAGGGGAGCTGCGGGGGAGCCATCCAAAGCCATCATGTGGCTGAAGATGGACAAGAAAAATTTAAGATCCCCAAGATCTTCGCCCACTAAGAAAACTCTCCTTGGGTCACTAACAAAGTATCTTTAGAGTGCCATGTTAATGACAGGTTAAGAGAGAGAAAAAAAAGAAACCAGATTTCAAAAAATTCTTTCAAAAGTTTGCTGCTGCATTGGCCGGGAATCGAACCCGGGCCTCCCGCGTGGCAGGCGAGAATTCTACCACTGAACCACCAATGCTCCAGCTGTGCTCAGCTCTGCCTCCAGCTGTTTTATTCGGCTCAACTCACAGTGGCAGGCAGCATCACTGTAACATGACACTCGGAGGCCTCCTGCATTCCGTTCTGCTCTGCGCCACATACCAGAAACATCGAAGACTACACGCAACTATGGTTTTCTGATTGTGTTAAAAATAAAGCATCTGAGAACAGACATTAACTAATTCTAAACTGTGAGATCCCTTCGGGTCCCCTGGGTGGTCTGCTTGACTTTGAGGACACTGGGAAGCTACAAAGGAATTCACTCTCTGGCTCTTAATTTTAGAAAGAGTTCTAAAAAGTTCCAGGGCCCCAGAGCTAATGGATACCCCTTCACCATAAATAACAATGCTAATTCAACAGACATGAAACTATTCAAGTTCTTAACACCTTCTAGTGGTCTAGCAAATTAGCACAAAAATCATTTTGATGTCATGTACATAAATGAGAAAAGACAGCTAAGTTTACAAGGAGAGAGACTTCCTGAAGACCCTTTCCATGAGCCAGGACGGGCAGGGTGCTGGCCAAGGTGGCTGAGAAAGGTTCAGGGGCAGGCCTACAGCTCTCATAAGCCTCCTTCCCTGTCCATAAACGTGAGGCCACCTGTACAAGGCCTGGGGCACTCCCAGACATGGAGGGCCAAGGCGAAGGCCGGCCCACAACCTACTCTGGCCCAGACACTTCTTCTCTTCCTGCAGGAGCCACCACTCAGGCAAATCCCCCCAGGCCTCGGGGGCTGCCTTCTAGAATGAAGCCGGGAACTAGACCTGAACAGGACAGTTATCGGTCTATGTCTCACTCCTCACTAGCGTAGAGAGCAGATCTGGCCCCGTGTGGGTAAAGCCTACCCCAGGAATCAATCAACAATTATTTATTAGGCACCTACTATGTACGTAAGGTGTAGAGCATACAAAGACAAACATGAAACGGGCCTTGAAATAGGAGCTTGCATTCTCTCAGGAGAGACAGCAGGTATAAATACATAAATACAAAATACATGCCAAATAAACCCAAGCAAATTATGTGGTGGGAGGCACCGGCAAGTTGAGGGGGGGAGGTTGGTCAGGAAAAGCTGCAGGTACAAAGACAGGGGCCCTTGAGCTGAGCTTTGAAGAAAACCAAGGACCACAAGAAGTGAAGGTGAGGATGGAGGGAGTGGTGCTGCAGGAGCGGGGAACAGTTCAGACCAAAGCACAGAGGTGGGAGATGTGTGAGAAGCAGTGAGAAGGCTGGCCTGTCAGGACTGTACGGCTGGTGCACGAAGCAGAGTAACGCACAGGTTTCTAAGGACAAAGGAGTTTGTATGCGGGCCTAGAGAGAAGAGGGAGTCACTGGAGTTTCCTGATCAGGGGAGTGATGGGGTCAGACATGAGCTTTAGGAATATCCCATGTTCCAGCTGTGGTGAGGATGGAGTGGAAAGGGGAGAGACTGGAGGCAGGGAGACCAAGGAGGAGGCCTTGGCAATAGTTCGAGTGAGAGGTAAGGAGGGCCTGAACCAGGTGCTGGCATGTGAATGGATAGAAGGGCACAGACAGAGACCTGCAGAGGCAGATACCCCATGGTCCTTCCAATAAACAAGCCCTTGGGATCTCAGCTCCTCAGGGCCACCTCCTGGGGCAGGGGCACTCACCATTGGCAGTCACCTCCTGCTTGGCTACCGAGTCGTCTGGGCTGGTCTCTGGATGGCTCAGGGCTCTGGGCCTCGGTTCATCCAGCTCGTCGTCCTCAGGGGTGACCAGCTTCATCAGGCTCTGGTTGCACACGTTGGCCATCTCCTTGATGCCTGATTGGACGGATGTAAGGGGCAGCACGAGACAGCGGGAAGAAGAGAGAAGCTGGACTCCTACTCTACCCCTGCGTAACCTCCCTCGGCCTAAATCTCCTCACCTCTAAATTGAGAGTACTGGGCTGTCTGGCCTCTGAGGACCCTCTGAGTTCCAGGTCTATGATCACACGAACTTGGGGTTCTCCTTCAAACATGAAGGCCACAGCACAGACCGAACGACAGGCCAGCATTACCTGACTCATCTTCTCCCTTGGTCACCTCAGTCCCCGCTTCCTCTGGAAGGCTCTGGCTTCTTTGCCAACACCCTGTTCTGGTGCCTGCTTACCCGGACTGGCTTAATGCTTCGATCCCCGCCGAGGGGTGAGGCTGATTCCAATGTTTTGGATCCCAAGGAGAGCACTCAGGAGGTGACCCTAACAACACTTCTGTTCCTACTGAGCAGAGATGGCAAAGACTCTCAAATGCAGTCACTCACTGATCTCAGTCAGAACTTGGAGTTAATGAAAAGTTTTCCAAGATTCCCCAACTCCTCAGCCCCTCCTGGTGTTGGTCTTATCTCTGCTGCCCAAGGGCTAAGGATACTTTTCTTTCGGTCATCATAGGCCAGACAGGGCAAAACGGCTGTCAGGATCCCCGAGGAGTAGGGCAACATCACCCGGCCAGCCAGCTGGATGAATTCCCTCATCCAGCACATAGCTGTGAGCTGAATCAGATCATCTGAAAGAGAAGGCATCAGGGCCACTTCGAGTCCATGGACAAAGGGCGAGGGGAAAAATAACCCCAGGATTAAGGGTTCTTCCCAGCCTCGCTGAGAAGATTCCATCTCATCCTGGAAACCCGGTAGCAGCCCATGCTGGGTTCTCAGGTGAGAATGGCAATCCCCAATGGAGCTCTGATCCCTGGAGGTATGAGCACCACTGCTGCACATGTCACCAGGAAGAGACAAATGGGCAGCCAGCTAATTCCTCTCTAGCACAGGCTACCAGGCCCCATCTTGGTTGCCACAATGGTGCTATTCTATTTCTCAAGAAGACTCCTGACCTTCAAGGTGACTGACAGTCTTTCCAGGGTCTGGGTTTGTCTCCTGCTCACACCCCAGTGGTTCTGGAGAAACAGCTGCAAAGAAGCAAGCCCCAGGAAGAGCCCACAGATGCAAAGCTGCAACCCTTCAACACTCACCTGAGTCCTGGCAGTGAATCACCAGCGTGTTGGCCATCTCGGCAAACTTGACACTGGAGGGATTCTTCTTAATTTCTTTTAAGAATTCTCCGAGAGCTACCTCACACCTGCCGGGAGGAGAGAAAGAAGAGGCATGTGCCAGCTACACCTACCCCTGGCTTTGTTTTGTCTGCGGCAAAAGCCGAAGTCTCCTCAACTAGAAAGTGAGGTGGATGAGCCAGATGACTGTTCAGATCCCTTCCAAACTGAATAAGCCAGGGATCTCTTTTAGAAGACGACCCACCCAGAGTTTCTAGGGAACACAGGGCCGTATCTGTACCATTTACTCTGTGTAACAGTTGGCGAGGTCAGGAGGACACTCTGCTCTTCGCACACACACAGGGGATACCGTATCCACTGGACCACTCACACACCGGACTCACATTTTCCGTATTTCTTTGCTGTTGTCTCCCAGGATGGGGAAGAGCCCATCGAGGATCTCAGGCAGGTAATCTAACAGGTTAATATCAGGCACAGACTCGAGAACCAGGATCTGAGCCAAAAGGAAGCAAATGGAAGAGTCACGATTTCCAAAGAACTAAACAAAGAGTTGCCTTCCTGGAGTCACCCTGTCAGCGACGTGCGAGGCCATGCTTACCCAGGAGATGATGAACTGCCGGGCGTACTGGTTGTTGGAGTAAATCCTCTCCCGCAGCAAGGGGATGAAGCTCACTAGGTCAAACTTGTTGTTTTCGGTCACGATGTCCTGTAGGCCAAAGCAGATCTTAAATGCCGAGTTACAGCTTGGCTCAGACATCAGCCTACTTCTCCACACTCTCCCCAGAATACCCAGTGGGCCCAGGCACTCTGTCAGGAGAACACAGGGGAGTAGCTGATACTGACTGCTGAGTTACGATTCTGGGAAAGACGAGTTCCCTGGGCGTAACGGCTGACAGAGAGGAAAAGGGAAGGAAACCGAATGAGGGGAGTACATTCCAAGGGGAACCAGTTGGGAACTACGCTGCAGACGGAGGGATGGAAGCCCAAAGGCAGAAATAAGCTTGTGACACTCCAAGAAGACCAAGGAAGGGTCTGCACTGAATAAAACTAGCATGCTGTTTCCCAGAAAGAGCCAGGAGGTAAGCGAATGTAAGCCACAAGGAAGACAAAACTGGAGAGGAAGAAAACTATACAACTTTTTGGAGAGGAGGGAGTAGGATTTGAAAAACAGAGCATGAGTGAATGTCAAGGCCAAAGAGCCCTGTGTGGGGAGGAGGGAGCAGCAGCGCGTGAACGGCAACGAGGCATCACAATGGTGAATACCTTCAAGAGGCGGTCCAGGAGCTCAGAGCCACTTTTGACGTTGGGATCTGGATCAGCAGCCAACTGGAAGCCAAGGAAATGAGAGCAGTTTAGCACATCACAAACCTCCTAGACACAGAAGGCGATGAAAAATGACTAGTGTGGCTTTGGCGCTCATCAGCAAACTTAAGAGTCTCTTATTTTTGGAACCTAAGCCTCAAGAACCTGGGGACGGGCAGAAGAAGCTGGGTTAGGCAAAACAAAACCTCAGCAAGGAGCCAAGGCCCAGATGAACACCCTCGTCTTGCAGGGACTGTGAATTACTGTTGTGTGCGGATACTTTCCCTTCCTCCTCAGGCTTCAAAATTTAATATTATGCCTTTCCCCATCATCCCCCTTTCCTCCCCCAAAACATCGAATCCTGGAAGGTGGGCTAGAGCTAGGCCCCAATGCCTCCACAGGGCTGTCTGCAACACAGCAGGCCCCTTGAGTTGCCAAGAAAGGTATATAAAGGAGGCTGGGAGGCTGGCTAGCATGTGATTTGTTCAGTCATTTTCAGTTGTATCTGACTTTTCGTGACCCCATTTGGGGGTTTTCTTGGCAAAGGCACTGGAGTGGTTTGCATTTCCTTCTCCAGCTGATTTTACAGATGATGAAACGGAGGCAAACAGGGTTTAAGTGACTTGCCCAGGGTCACACAGCCAGTATTTGAACTCAGGTTTTCCCGCCTCCAGGCTTGGCACTCTATCCACTATGCCATCTGGCTGCCCCTGGCACGTGATTAGGAGAGGTCAAAGGTTTCATACAGCAGGTGGGTCTTTACAAGAGCACAGGCTCATCCCAGGAGCCCAGAGCCCCAGACTCCATGGGAAAGATAACTCTTTACCTTGCTCAGTCCATCAAAAAGCACATCAAAGTGGGGCAGGACAGAGCCCCGGGCCACCTTGACGATGTTGTACAGGGCTTCACAGGCGTAGTAGCGCAAGCGGCTATCAGCATCATTGAAGCATGTTAGTACTGGCTCAATCAGCTCCTTCAGGTACAATCCAGAGTCCTGGGGGGTGCAGGAGGGATCAAGCAAAGAAAGAATGAATAAATAAGCCCCCCAAATTCCCGCAGATCTACATTCAGCTCCTACTTGTAACAGGAGTTCTCAGGAATAAAACTAAGGGCAGAATTTAAGGATTGGGTTAAGGGTCCGCAAGGTAGTACACCTGCCTCCTAGGATTGAGTTGGGGGCTGGGCATGGTGACTAAGCCATGCTTGATGGTCCTAATACAAAGAGAATACAGCTAGGTCTGCAGAAAGATTGGAACTTTGCATTTCTCAGGGGATATTTGGAAGATTCCCCAGACCTACCTTGCCCAATGCAATGGAGCAGGCTGCCAGGCCGATAAGGCCCCCTTTCCGGCTGTGAGGGTGCTGAGAGAGAGCAAACTCCTGGGACAGAATCTGGATCACATGCTTAACTTGTACTGTGTTATTCTGGGCCACAAACTCTCGAACTAGCCTAGGGACAGGAGAGAGAGAGAGAGGGGTGGTAGAGCAAAAGGCATCCGGGAAGCAGGAGCACCTCAGAGAGCAGAGCCTCCCACAAGTGTCTCTTTCCTGGCCATGCCTATGACTGTTCTCCTCACTATCCCACCCCGAGCCAGATTCTGCATGAAGCCTAGGGAAGCCTCCAAATTCACCCTCATGGGAGGCAAAGCAGTGGATCTGAAGCCAGCTTGCTCTGGTTCAACAAAAAAATCCAAGCAGTCAGGAACAGGATTGCTATGCTGAAGTTCCACACTCTGGGTTAGTCAAGTGAAAGGAGAAGGGTGACTAGTTTAGAAAGGGGAATCGGGAATCAGGAAGGCTAGGTTCTTTCCCAGTTTTCTAGCCATTTCCCCACCTTGTGCCAATTTCCCTTAATGTAAAATGAAATCACCTACGGCCCCATTCTGATCAGCCTTCTCTTTTTCTGCATGCTTTCTCTCTTCAAATCAATCTTTTTTCTTTTTGGTTCTGAATTTTCTCCCTGATACCTCACACCTCCCTCATCCACTGAGAAAGCAAGAAAACCAAAACCTGGTGCAAATATGTATGGTAAAGTAAAATAAATTCCTGCATTGGTCATGCCCCCCCCCCCCCCCCCCCGCCACACACACGGAGTGCGTATCTATTATCTATCTACACTCCACTCTGCACTGAGTCCATCACCTCTCCTTCAGGAGGGGGATGGCATCTACATGCTCTCCTGATCTCAGCAACTCCCATGAATTCCACTACTGGTCCCTATGCAGATGTCCCTCAGATCCAGATTCACACGCAGCCTCTCTCTACACTGCACTGACGACAGATGTGGCATCTCTCTCTCCCCGAACTCCAGGTCCACATTACCAACACCCACTGGACACCTTCAGCGGGACATGCTGCTGACCTCTTAACTCATCATGTCCCAAACAGAGAACATCCCTCCCCATTTCTGTTGAGAGGACTGTCCGGATTGTAACCCCGCAGCCTTTCTCAATAATTTCTCTCCCTCAGCCACAGCCAATCAACCTCCAAGTTTCACGGATCTGACCTCCAAATTACATCTCCCAGGTGTTCCCTTCTGTCCATGCACACATGAACATTCAAACCCTCATTATTTGCTGCAGTAGCCTTCTAATTCTTCTACCTGTGAAACTGATATTCCTAAGACACTGTCCTTACCACATCCCTGTCCGGCTCAAGATACTCCAGTGACTCCCCATCACCACCAGAGAAAAGCAGGTTCCTCTACCTGGCTTTCCAAGTCCTTTTCAGTAGGGTTCCAGCCTACTTTTCCAGGCTTAACATAAGAGTCTTCTTCCAGACAAAATGGGTACAGGGCTATTCCCTGTACACAGCATTCTCTCTCCTGCCTCCATGTCCTTGCAGAATCCTTGGTGTTCTTCGAAGTTTACCTTGGGTGCCACCTGCTATGAGAAGCCTATGTAATATCCTCCCCATTATTAGTGCCAATTCTCAAAATATGTGTATGTGTTTCTCCCCCTGCCCCCAATATAATTAACGTAGGCTCTTTGAGGGCAGGGCCTATTCGGTTTGTGTTTTTGTTATTTCCTATATGCCTGGAGCACAGTGGGCATTTAATAAATATTTGCTGAATGAATGAAATCTGAGAGTATTTGCTATCTGTCTTACTTTCTGGAGTTGGGAGGACCAAGTTCCTTAAAGTTCATCAGCTCAGACATGTGATAGGGAGGTGTGCATTTTTAAATTACTGACTTATTGAACACCCTAGGCAGTTTACTTCTGAGGCCTGGTCTGGGGCAGAATGAGGCAGTGTCTGAGTGGTAATAAATGTTAACAGAAGAGGGTAAAGTCAGCTCCTCCCCTATGTCTAAATGAGCAGATTCAGTCATCTTTTGGCATTTTCTACTCATGGAAACAGATGTACTTCTCCCCAGCTTATTCGCACAACTCAAACCCAGGGCTAAGTCAGGTCAGACTGGGGAGAGCCTCAAACTCCAGAGAACACCTAGCTAGAGGACCTCCCTAATTACAGACCTTGTAGGCCCTTTCCCTTCTCCAGGGGCCCAGCATTCACTAACACTCTCGGATTCCTGGCAATCTCTACAGATCTCCCCTCAGTGGGATGAGTACTGGAGAGGATTTTTAGGATTCTTATGTTGGGATCTGGTTAATTTCCACAGCAACATGGGAAGATTTTTCAGTCTAAGCTGAGCATGAGCAGGTCCACCTAACAAACCTGTTTGTCAACTTCTGCTCCCCCAACCACACAGATCAGTCAGGTGAGAAACCTTGGAGTTTGCTGGGCAGGAGTTGAGAAGGCACTGCAGATGCTGCCTCGCACAGCATTGGTGGTTCAGTGGTAGAATTCTCGCCTGCCACGCGGGAGGCCCGGGTTCGATTCCCGGCCAATGCAGCAGTTTTTTCCCTTCCTCCCTTGTTCTGCTGCTCCTTCAGAACACAAGGGCTCTTTCAATCACTGCACACTTCAGGTCTGTGAGTATATAAACACAGTCCATGTGGAAGAAATGCTGACCATTCCACAGCCTTGCTCACATCTCTAACTTCCAAAGGAATGCATATCACACTCCTACATTCTGTCACCAGACTGGGAACCAATTCAGAAAGTGAGCAGTACACAGACAGACTAATGCCCAAGTCTTCAGGCTTTTCTTTTCCCCTGGGGAAAGAGCACATCTAACTCTGGTTTCCGCCCCACACATCTGTAAGTTCTATTGACTCCTGTCAAATGTACAAACACACTTCTCCCCAGACCTCAGCCCTGTTCTTTAGCTGCTGATGTGGCAGCTGGACAAGAGTGCTGTGAGCCAGCACATACACAAGGGGGCTCGAGGCGGATGCTGTAGAGAGCTGCTAGCACAGCTGCTGACAGCTGGAGCATTGGTGGTTCAGTGGTAGAATTCTCGCCTGCCACGCGGGAGGCCCGGGTTCGATTCCCGGCCAATGCAGTAGCAAACTTTTTTTTTTTTTTTTAAATAAATCCTAAAAGGATAAACCGATGTTTAGTTCTGAATAACAGACCTAGAAAAAAGTTATTTCCTGGCTCATCTTCTACCTTGAGTTGTAAATGTCCTGAAACAAAAAGATCAGGTCCTTGGAAGCTACAGAAACACCAAGTCCTTGACTGGGGGGAATCAGGGGGAAAGGGTCCTGTTCACCAGCAGGTTGGTAGGCTCTGATATGTATCCTAGCACCCCAATACTCCTCGATCATCTGGGCTCTTCTGGCCCTTCCCCCACATGCCCAGGCAGGCACTGCAGCCTCACTTCCCAATAAACCAAGGAAGGGCAAGCTAGAACAGCACAAACACCTGAGGAGGTAAAAGCAGCCCCATGTCTCAGGTGGAAGAGAAGCCCGAGTCAATAGGTGAGACTATCCCTGGGTCTCCAGTGTCCCCTGCACAGCCCCCAGAGGGTAGCCACGCCCTGCCGCTCAACAGGCATCACCTGGCCTGTGGGGGTCACCCCAGAAATGAAGGCCACCCGCATCCCCTCAACCTTGCACTCTCACGTCCCTTCAGGAAGCTACTGCCCAACTCTCCAGAGTCCAAAGCTGATTCTCCCCAGGGTCCCTTCTGAGTCATCTCCTAGTCTGCCTCCAGTTTCTCTCAAGGTAAGCAGGGCAGGCCAATACTGCACAGGTTCAAGTTGGCTGAAGCAAACTCCGAACGGTCTATGTATGCTCTTCCAGGCTAAACAACGGGTTTTGCTGAATCTAAAGCCAGGGGAAAAGAGAGGACTCCCCCAAATGCCCGAAGCCCTCAAGCAGCTGACCAAATTCATCAGTACAATAAACATTTATGAAGCATTCTCTCTGCGCCAGGTACTGTGTTTGCTAATGGAGCTACAAAGACAAAAACTAAACTGTCTCTGCCCCCAAGAAGCTTAGGTTCCATGGGGGAACACAGCACACACCTGTGAGGGCGGGCTCCCCATCTGTGATCTCCTTAGCACAGAGAGCACCCAGCTAAGGAAGTAAGCTCTTCAGCCAGCACGGGTTTGCACCTTCCCTGTGTAGAGCAGAGTACCTGAGGGGGACCAAGGTGAAATCGGTCTAGAAGGGCAGCTAGGAGTCACAGTGCAAAGGGCTTTCAATGCCAAGGGGGGAGTTGACTTTTTCCCTGAGACACAACAGGGAGCTGCTCAAGTGTCCTGCACAGGGCACTGACGGCTGGCCACAGGCTCTGCGGGATATAAATATGGCAGCTCAATAGGGACTGGAGTGGAAGGGGCATTTTAGCATGGATGGCCACAAAGGGATCTGAACTATAGCGGGGGGTGTGTGGGTGAAGAGAAAAACAGCGGCTAGAAAGGACAACATGGAGGCAGAAATGACAAGACCTGGCAAGTGACTGGATGCGGGGAGTAAGGCAGAAGGGAGAACAATGAATGAGTGTGAGGGACTGGACGGACGGTGGTGCCTCCTCAGAACCAGAAGGATCGGAGAAAGGGCAGGGACAGAAGCGCTTCTGGTCTCGGACACGATGCCACACTGGCGCCTGGGAGAAGGCTAAGGATGAGACCACTGGGAGAAGGGCCTCCTCATGCAGACACTGCAGGCTCCTGGCCACAGCCCAGCTGGCGCTCACTGAGAAAAAGGGAAGAGATGGTCTAAAACAGATGGCCAGGATTTGGAGCAGAAGGGGGCCTTAAAGAGCTGAACTTTGCAGACAAGTAAACAGAGGCTGAGAGACATGAAACGATTTGCTTAGGTTCACAAACAGGACACAGGCCCTCTGTCTCCAAATACAGTTCACACGCTCTAGCCCCCATCTCTTCAGTGTCAGCTTCTGTTTCCCCGCCGGCCAGGTGGGGCACCTCAGCTTCCCCGCCTCTTTCCCTCTGCTGAGGGGACTCCCCACTTGGGGTGCTCTGGCCCCATGCTCCCATCCATCTCAGCTAGACAGCCCCTTTATAGCCGACCTCTCATTCCAGCAGGATACGCTCTCCCAACTGCTCATCTGGCAGACTTGTGACACAGCTGGGATTCTGG